CTCAATTACAATTCAATTTATGATTATCTGTTATTACAATTGTGGGACAATATTAAAACTAAGTTAAGTATTCATAACAATCGTTTTTGGTCAAGGAACTGACTGTTATTGCCATAGACTGTACTTCTTTCGCTCATTGGATGTTTAAACATCCAAAAAGTATCGAGGGCGATGCTAAAACAAACTTTTGGTTGAAAAAATACCTACATGGAATGGATACTCGTTGCGGTGACGTTGAATACAATGAGTTGCCGAGAATCATGAAACTGTTGCGGTGCGAGACCATTTACGTGAAGGGAGCTGTGAAAAAGCGAGTAGTTGAAAAGTACATACCGGGACAACGTATAGTCAACGTCGAGGATTTGGACTGCCCACCGCTGTACAATTTAAGTTGTGTTACAAAAATGTGTTGTATCCGACACATGAACAACCCGACAGTGTGTAGTTTATACAAGGCAATCTGCTTAAAACAATGGATGAATTATAATATGTAACATTATTGTCAAAAAATGATTTTGCAATATTCTCATTTGTATTCGTACAATAATTATATTTTCCCTAAATAAAATGTATATTAATGATTATAGTAAAATAAATAAANCAATATATTTTCCATAAATAATATGTATATGAATGATTATAGTAAAATAAATAAATATTTCTAAAATACGTGTAGTACTTACTATAATTTATTAATACCTATTGTAAAATAATCTGGTATTATCAAAATAAATAGTGGTTAATTACTTTAATTAATTAAGCATTTATTATAATATCAATTCTAAATTACATTTATTTACAACTCAATTAATTAAAATATTACATTAAAAAAATCTTAAAACTATATTTACAACAATATATTTATACAACACTTATATTTACAAAAACCTTATCATAAAATTCAATTACACGGTTTAGCATACAATATATTTTATATATATCGATATGGATATTTAAAGAGTTTTACAATTTTATTATTATTCTAAAAACTAATGTTGCTTAAATTTCTTCCGATGGAATGGCATAATGACCGTAAGCCAGCGTGTCAACTCTGTTGTCGAGCGTGTAGCGCTTATCGTCGAAACGGTTAAGCGCCAACTTGGTTGTACGTAAAGTGCGTACCTCGTGCTCGAAAGAACGAATTGACACGTTCTGTCGGTACGGAGTGTACAGTAATGATAATGTCGGTGGAATCTCACCATCACGTACGGCTCCGATGACTACACGACATTGCCTCCGATCAACGCTCATTTTGACGCATCGTCACCATCGTCGCCATCGTCTTCAAACAAACATCGTTTGTAATCGTCCAAGGACAGATTTTTCCGGACGACATGTCCACGGATCCCCTTAGACTTGATGAATTCGCTGTCTTCCATGTCAAATGCATAGCACTTTGAACGAAGTGTGCCGATCTCAAAGAGGGTGAGGCCGCCGGTCTCGTTTGAAAACAGACCAGGCGTCTTCTTCCTCGAGGTCGAGTAACAAGGGTGATCCTTGGGCAGGCTAGATGCGTCCACGTACACCAGTAAATCGGGGCTGTCGGCTAAATCCTGGTAGAAGTCGCTGACTCTGAGCAGGTATATGAAGGAGTCTGAGAAAAATTAAAAATATATAAATATTGTAAAAATATTTCTACTGTACGGTTGTACTCACCAGTATCCATGTAAACCAGGCTAATTGCGTCGCCATAATGAGGTTTTAATACGTCGTAGAAGTACTTGTACATTAGCGACTTGCTAATGTCAAGCACTGCTAAACCGACGTATATTGGTTTGATAAACTTGACAATCTTTGTGTCCATTATGACGGCGCACAACCTTTCGCCGTATTTGATACAGTCGTTGAAGGTTGGTTGGTTTACGAGCTTGCTTAGACGTTCGGGACTGGAGATTAGCTCAATACGGATGCGTTTCCGCATGTTCTCCATTGTTTTCCCTATAAANTTTTCCGCATGTTCACCATGGTTTTCCCTATAAAATATAAATATTTATCAAATAACTCACAACTACTTTACCATTGAGCGTGCACTTACCAAAGACGACATTATTCATTAATTTGAAAAACGATATTTCAAAAGCATTTGCCGCCTGTTTCCGCATTTCAGTGTCCAACTCAATGTACGGTTTCAACCAAGCATTTTGTTGAAACTCTAGCACGCGGTGCACCTATATGACAAACATATTAATATCATAGCTAATAGCTCTAGGTACGATGTATATACTTTATCGACTTGCAGTCCGTGTGCAATCGCCTGTTTCAAGTTGACATAGTGTACGACATACCGCTGTTTGGGTTTCAAAGTAGCCAAGAGTTTGGTCTCTTTGGAACCCGGCGGTACATCGTTGCCAGGCAAAAACAGCAAGTCATTGTGCTCGTCATGCAGCCCTTCTGGATACGATACATCTACTTCATAGAATTTAAAACAGATGCCTTTGTAAAAATTATGACCGTCTGCCGTCTCTAATGCGTTGACGGAAGAAGAATACAATCCGTCCAGTCGAAGCTATTATTTTATTAAAAATAATTAATTACAGTTGTTAAATACAGTAATAATTTATAACAATGGGAGGGATACCAGTAATAATTCAGACAAAATATACGTGCACCATTAATCGGTAAGTATAATACAGTTATAATAATATTATAAACATTATAATATATATAGTCAAGTGATTACGTCGTCGTCGTCGTCGGCGGCGGCGGCAGCGGTAGTGTTTATTTAAGAATGTGTTTTGCTATAAGAAAATTTGAAAAGTCGTCATTAGTTTATATTGTCTAAAAAAAAATATTGATTTATTATTCACTATACGAATAACGGTCAATTTTATTAACTCGTATAATAACAATTAATCTAATTGACGGCGACATCGCCGTCGCCGCCGCGTTGGTCCATCTGCTGTAATAATCTCAAGTGCTATAGTGTAATCATCAATACAGCCATCTGGCACACAATGACTGTTTTGAATAAATCTATGTTTTTTTTACAAATTAGGTAAAATTGACATTTTACATATGGAATTTATCTAAATATATGCATGTCGCATATCAAAATAGCGGATTCGACGTTTAAAATTCATACTTTTCACCGTAACCGTATAGCTTACCTGGAAAATGGATTTTTTTTTTCGTCAAAAAACCCATGGACGGCAGTCCATGCTCGTCGTAAAAGTCGACCAAAATGGACCTAACAATGGGCAGCAACATTGTTAGTATCAATTATAGATTAATCTATACTTGAATAGCATCCCTTATTAATAAGAGATGTCATTGCGATGCAGAAGGCAACGGGAAACCACTGCATTAATTTTCCCAAACATCAAGCAATGAAGGCAACGACAAGGCAATGCCTGTAGTAGAGAAGAAGAAGAGTCAAAAAACCTATATTACGTATATATGGCCGAGCATAATTTAGGTGCGTGACAAGTTGTGTTAGTTTACGTCGTGTTTCATCCTCCCCCCACCCCACCTATAGTTTACCATAAGTTGCATTACCCCTCTCTCATAAGACTTGGTGGAGGAGGAGAGGTTTTTCTTAGGTTAGTATACGTTGGGTTTCGTCGTTCCCCCTCCCATTGTATTATGTTAGTTTACGTTGGATTTACTCCCCCCCCTACCCGCACACCTGATGAGGATCTCCCGAAGGTCGATTCGTCGACACAAACGGAGTCCCAGAAGGTTGCGGGAGGCAATGGGTCNACTTAACAGAACACGCATATTTCTACCACTCTTTCCACATAGGCCACGCCTCTTACTTCCCCTATCAGGATGAATGCCCTTTGTAACCCTACTGACGATATAAGTTTGTCAACTAACGGAAAATCACTACGGATTTGCTCAGCTACTCGATGTAAAGCATGAGCTAAGCAAGTTAAATTTTTTTTTTACAAACTACCAAATGGCTTTATTATTTAAACGATAAAATTATCTTTATAAATATATTTTACAATAATTGTATATGAAACATAGTTTTATAACAATTAATAAAGAATAAACATGTGTGGAGTGACACCTCCAGCGAGGTGGCTCCTTAACCTAAGTTAAAACTAAATATTTTAAATTAAGTCATATGGTTTATGACGTTTAAGACGCCTGATGTCTTCGGAGTTGTCCAAAAGTTGGATGGCTGCTGTGTTAATGTGGTTCGTTAATCTCACCTCATGTTTGCGAGCAAATCTCTTAATTTCTTCTGCTACTGTAGGCAAAATCAAATCACGGTGTATAATGTCATTTCTATCGTACCGATAAGCTGAAACGATGGTACGGAGTGCAACATTTTGGCATCGTTGAATAACATCAATATTAGACTTACTAGTACAACCCCACAGTTGTATACCGTAAGTCCAAATTGGTTTTATGATAGCTACGTAAAGTAGACGTTTGTTATTTAATGAAAGTTCGGAATGTTTCCCGATCAACCAGTATAACTTTTTCATTTTTAGTTTTATTTGCAAACTTTTCTGGCGTACATGGTGTTTCCAATTANCATTTTTAGTTTTATTTGCAAATTTTTCTGGCGTACATGGTGTTTCCAATTAAGACGTGAGTCTAAGTGCATTCCTAGGTATTTAGCCGAATCTTTTTGTGGGATAATTTGATGATTCATTTTGATAGGAATATTATTGGTATTACGAAGTGTATAATTGACATGTACTGANTAATATTGGTATTAAGAAGTGTATAATTGATATGTACTGATTTGTCACTATTGATTTTAATTTTCCAACGTCTTGTCCATAAGAAGATTGTGACGTTCACCGATAACTAACCGTGAGGTTATCACCGATGAAGCACATAAACCCAAACGAAGTTGGATTCACCACTAGCCGAGGCTCTACCAGACCGGAGCATAGTGGAATTTTAAATATAACTGACACATTTGTTGTTTTAATTTACTAAGTTTTTACCTTAACTCTAGGGGAAAAGGAATTAAAAACTGGTAGACAAGTAGTATAGGCGATGATGTTCTATTTTATATACTGTGTTTAACTAAAATAATAATGCCCAAAGTACAATAAAATAAACGTCAGTTACAAATGTTCAAAGTCAAATAAAATTACAAATTCTTTTATATAACATATTTCAAGTCATAGTTTAAAATTATTACAAATTATTAAATGAGCTAAGGACAAATAAAATAAAAGGGACATGAGGGAAAAAATAATCTCTGACACTTCTGTATTGACTATGTTCGATTTGACCAAGGGACAGGATCGTACTTTCCAATATTGAATAAAATAAAATGGTTATCATTGCAATAATGCTCAAACTAAGAACATGACATCGGTCAATATGGATCTAGGCCTTTTATACCGAGCCTTGAGACTGCTAAGCACGTCTAGATTGGTCCAACATGAGGTTTTATTACACTCAACATAATAAAATTAATGATAGAATGGACGAACATGATATTTTATCATAATTTACCAATAGTCAATGAGCAAATATGCCAAGAGATAAGATAGAATAATCATATTAAAATATTAAAATATATTAATGACATTTTTAAAGAAACCTCGTGACAATGCACGAATAGAGGGAACAATGAAATGGACAAAACAAAGAAAAAAACGGGAATGCTGTACAAAGTTACCAAATTATATTATCATGATGCCCAGGCCGTAGCCAACAAATGAGTCTTCACCCATGGCTCGATCGCCAGGGCCAAAAGTAAAATTAGGCAGCCATAATATGTTCAAATATACGCAACATAAAACTAAGTAAAAATGCTGCAGACCGAATAGACGACCGGCCAAAACACATTTTAACAAAACGGCCAAACCACTTGACGGCGACGACACACATGGACCGGAAGGGGAAACAACGCCGACATCAGTGCATGCTTCGTTGACAGACATCTGGGACCGGTTGAATGATTGACAGTACTGTAGTGGTCAGCTGGGCGTTTTGTTATCACAATGATAATTTGTTATGAACGATTGTACAACAGATAATAGAAAAAAGGGAATGTGCGACTGCATTATTTAGGAAAATTGAATAATGTTATTACTGAATTATACTGTTCAAAATTAGTTTTTATTCACCACGAAATTAATACTATCTAGACAATAACACCGCATTACCAATTGCCGAGCAGTTACACTTAATTATATGATGTTCACAATAACTAATTTAATTTACTAATGTGTTAAATAGTACTATTAATGATTGGTCCATTTTTTACGTCACAAGATATTATTGATCGAGTTTTGTAATTTACCAGTTGCAGACTGTTGACTATAACTGGTTGCTAATACAGCCGTAACATGAGCGAACATGGCAGTTGTCGTATCATTGGTTGATGGAATGTCAGCAGTATAAAGTAAATACAAAATAGGTCCTAAAACACTACCTTGTGGTACTCCTGCTGTTATAGTTTTCCAATCTGTAACAGCTTGCTCATGCATTACCCGAAACTCTCGTTCAGTCAAGTAAGATTCTAATAACGCGCACCAAGTGTGTGGTAGTTGTTCTCTTAATTTTATAAATAGTCCTTCATGCCAAACTTTATCAAACGCCTGCGCAACGTCTAAGAAAACTGCACAACAGTACTTTTTCTCTTCAAGAGCCTGGTTAATAACATTGGTAACTCGGTGAACTTGATCAATTGTAGAGTGCTTATTGCGGAAACCAAATTGGTGGTCAGGTAAAAGTTGCTTTTCTTCAATCAAAGGTTTTATCCTTTTAAGAAGAACTTTTTCAAAAAGCTTAGATAAACAAGGTAAGAGTGATATTGGCCGGTAAGATGTTACCTGATCTGGTGGTTTACCTGGTTTTAGTAACATTATGACCTGAGCTTTTTTCCATAGTTTTGGAACGTATTCAGTTCGTAAAATTGCATTGAAGATGTATGTAAGATAAATAATCGCCTTCTTAGGCAATTCTTTTATCATTCTCGGGCTGATTTCATCGTAACCTGGTGCTTTTTTTACA